CGGTGTCGAATCGTACTGTGGTCAAACGGAACACGCCCGTTTTAGAATTATCACAATTGTGTGTGGTGTGCGTTATTTTTTTTTCAACACGAGAAGGACGTTCTTTTTTCGCGTATCAGACAACATTTCTCGCAAGCAAAATTATGTAACATAATGTATATACATACATATACATATGTATGTATGTATAGTTATGTATTATGTATATTTAATTCGATACAGTATCAACACAAAATCTCAAACAAAGACAAAGCTACGCTCTCGACTTTCATCAGAACGAAACTTTTATTTGACTATCGACTGTTTAAACAGAACCTTTATCCTCCTTGATGTGATCCCTTCCGATAGAAAGAAACTTTAACTCAAGATCTACGACCCGGCGAGTAAAGTTAGCGTATGAAATTTTACGCGAAAGTTCTTCCTCGCGGTATTATAACGCCGGCCAAATTTCATCCGAGTGTTTGCGCGGTTTTGGGGTAGCGGAAGCCCGTGTGGAGTTTTCGGCTTTGTGGCGCTAGTTCCAAAGCCACGATAGTATATCACGTTCTCCAAGCTTCGTAAGCTTTCGTGAATGGTGCGGAATTGACCTACAGAGGCTCTTCTATTAGATCTTTCATTTGCATATATGTACGCGAGTGTATCCCTGTACATAGAACCCGAGAACACAATTTAATGTGCCCGAGAAGCTTGCGATTACGCCTCTCTCTCGTGTATATCGGTTAACTCCGAGAAGATTTATTTGTCATATTTTTTTTTTTTTCTAATCGCGCTAATCACCGCGACATGAAAAAAAAAAAACGAACAAATTTCCAAATTGTTATTTTCCGAATTCAGCCTCCGCCGGGATTCTAGACCGGCCATTGATAAGATTAGCACGTGTAACTCGCAGAAGGGGATATATTATTGCACATATGTGACTTAAGCTCCGGAATACATGGCCTTTAGTTTGAGACTCTAGACCAGGCATGTGAAACTGGCGGTTCGCTCGATGATTTGTAACCCTCTGCTAGTAGTTAGTTGCATCCACAGTTTGTGCGGCGCGCGTTCCTATCTTATCCGTAAAGTTACTGGCAGACATTAATTAGCTTACGGTAGCGTATTAGAAGCGCATCGATATTAAAATTATTCTATGTGTTTATTTTTTCTTCTAAATAATTTTTTTTTTTTTACATTTTTCTTTTTGCGTTCAGTTACAGAAGGGTTTTTAAATTGATATTTAGCAAACAGGAGAGAAGAAAAAAAATTATACACAATATTTCTGATTTTTTTCCATTTTTTTGTCGCAGAACGGTGCTACTTGCATTGACGGCATAAACAATTACGAGTGTAAGTGCGCGGCGGAGTATACGGGGAGATACTGCGAGGCTGCACCCTCGACAGCCATGCTGTATCCACAGACCAGTCCGTGCGCCCACCACGACTGTCAGCACGGTGCCTGCTTCCAGCCCGCTCCCGCCTCCGCCGTGGACTATCTTTGCCAGTGCCACCCCGGCTACACCGGTAAGTCTTAAAANCAAAAATTGTACATTTTGCAATGTGATACTTTAAAACACAAACGAATCGCATTATGATCTGGTTTATACAATGTTAAAACAAAAAATACAATAATAGTCGAGATACATTTTTTTATTNGTTACATGTCAAAATATTTTCGTGCGTTGTCTCGCTCTAGAAATCCTTTCAGTGCTTTTTATCATAATTTTAATAATGACCGGGAGAAGAACTTTTCATTATCTCTCGCATGCGCACTTGCGTGTGGTACGAGCTGTGCGAAATGAGAGAGCTCTGCGTGACACGCTGGGCCGCCTGTCATTTCAGGAAAACGATGCGAGTACCTGACGAGTCTGAGCTTCGTGGACAATAGCTCGCTGGTCGAGCTGGAACNGCTACGCACGAGGCCCGAGGCGAACGTGACCATCATATTCACGACCACGCAGGAAAACGGGGTTCTTCTCTACGACGGACAGAGCGACGGGCACATTGCCGTCNAGCTCTTTAATGGGCGGGTCAGAGTTTCGTACGACGTGGGTAATTATCCGACCTGGACGATGAACAGCTACGAGATGGTGGCCGACGGGAANCCGCACATGGCAGAGCTGCTGGCGATCAAGAAAAATTTCACGATGAGGATCGACCGCAGCCCCGCCAGAAGCATCATCAATGAGGGTCCGAAGGAGTACCTCAAGCTTGTCACGCCGATGTTCGTCGGCGGCGTCGCGCCGGAATTTGCTAAAGTCGCATTTACCGAGTTTCACCTAAGGAATATTACGAGCTTCCAAGGTAAGTTCTTCACGTTGAAAAATATTATTAAAGTNTGAGTGAAATTCCGATATTATCCTTTGTATTTAACTTTGATGTATACCGTCACTCTCGCGGAAACTTGCCGCGAGAAAAGCAATTTTCAACACGGAACCGCGAGAAAACGTAAATTCAGACGTTGTAGTTCCCGATCAAAACGTTTCAACACAATTGAATATTCAACGTGACACTCGGACAATTTCGGCGATTATTCTTATAATAACNAAAATGATCAAGATTCTCCAAGATTTTACAGTTGATTTGTGCTCTCTCTCTCTCTGTCTCTCTCTCTCTTTCTCTCTCTTTCTCTCTCTCTTTTTCCATTGCTACACACCGCCGCTTCTAACAGCGATACTCTGCGGTTCCGCTGGGAAACGATAGTTGTCGCAAACTCGGAATATCAGCCGCAAATTCGCAACTTGCGGAGACCTCATTTAATATTCGGTTACATTTTTGATGTCNCTCGGCGCAATACTGATTTACTGCGTTTGCATATACATAGGGTGGAGAATAATATGCAAACGCGGTATATGCGCGCATCCAAGAGAAATTACATTCGCAAAGCATACTGAATTTTCTAACAATATCTAATGATGATAATTTTGCACGCGCGTAATCGGAATATTATTTATTTACTGTAATTCATATTTGCACGCAACAATTCTGTGGAATTTTGTTNTTGTGACGAAATAACGGTATTGTTAATTGTGAAAAATGCGTCAATTTTTCAAGCGTGANTTTATCTCTTACGCGGATTTATGCGAATTACGTACGTGTTGAGCACGCCACTTGCGCCTAACTGCAAGCACTCAATTGCATCGTAACGCTCGGTACACATTCTCGTACCGCGTATCGCTCTTTATACCAGGATCGAGCAAAAGTTCNGCGCTTCGCGCGCTAGATCCATTAAAAGTTTTCCTGCTTTATCTCAGGCTGCATCTCCGAGATGTGGATCAATCATAAGTTGGTAGACTTCAGCAACGCCGCAAAGATGCATCGTGTTTCTCCCGGATGTGCTGCCAGCGAGGAAGAGGCCGACGAGGCGAGAGATATTGTTGAAGCTGAGGGAATTAACAACAGTGGCAGTAACNAGGAGTTCATGCCGCAGGAGCCCATNCATCGAGAACATNCCGGTATGTCAAGCTTTTAGTGTCAGACATAAAAAATGACAATTTATTACAACTTTCGTATTTACGTTGCGTATCAGATATNATCGTGCCNATGAGCGCGCTGATGCCGCATGCGTGTATCGGACATGAATGCANAAAGGGANCGCAATGCATTCCATCGCCGTTTGGTAACAGCTACTNTTGCCGATGTCAAACCGGTTGGCTAGGACGATACTGTGAGAAAGGTATCTTATTTAACAAAATTGTGTACAATTAGATAAGCTCGTGACAAGGACAATT